TGAGCCGCCCCCGCGTCTTGTTCCGCTCGCGGTGGGTGGCCCGTTTCTTCTGCTGCTGGAGGACGCGTTCCCGGCACGTGCGGTACTCCAGGGCGAACTCCCTCAGCAGCTTGCAGATGGAGGTCACCTTCACCTCCCTCACCGTGCCCGCCGGGTACCCCAGGTACAGCAGGAAGGAGCGGAACCTGCAGTGGGGGGGGGGATGGGGGACGTCAGCCGTGGGGATGGGGGCACCAGCAGGACCCCTTCCCCCGGGAGCTGGAGGCACCCACCTGTTGAGCACGCGCCTGTGCACCACCTTCAGCACCACCACGCGCTGGGTGCTGTCCTTCAGGAAGTCAGTCAGCTTGCTCTTCAGCACCGGCTTGGCCTCGTGCTTGGCGATCACCTTCAGGTTGTCCCAGGAGGCCCTGCACCTCCGCTCCAGCTGCACCAGGCTGTTGGCCAGCTCCTCAAAGTCAACCTGGGAGAGCGAGAGGTGGAGCTGGGCAGGAGAGGGACCTGCGCCCCGGCCCTGCTGGGTGGCACCTGCCTTGCCTCACCTTGGCGGAGCGGGTGATGGAGGCGATCTCTGAGTACAGGTCCGTGGTTTCTGGGAACTTCTCGACCACCATCTGGCAGAGGTGGTGGAGCAGGGACTGCCGGTGCACGGTGTCCTTCACTTCCGAGACCTTCTCCAGGTAGCCCAGCTCAAAACCTCTGCTCTGAAAACCCCAAGGGACTCAGCAGGACCTCCAGGCTGCAGACCCACAGGGTCTGACCCACAGCACCACCCAGCACCAGGGTTCCTGCAGTCCCTCTCGGGCACCCACGGGCAGGCCACATGTCCCCACCCCTTGCTCCTCACCTGGGAGCCGTTCAAGAAGTTGCCCATGGCCAGCAGCGTGGCCAGGATGCACTTGAAGGTGTGGTTTCTGGCCAGCTGCTCCATGCCCACCTTCAGGTCGTAGAGTGGCTCTGCAATCTCCTGGGTGAGGAGAGGAGAAAGGTGAGGACCCTCACCCACCTGCTCAGCGTTCACCCTCACCCATGAGGGCCACCATGAGGTCAACCCAAGCCCACGGAGACCTGTAGCCTCTCCCCAGCCAGGATGGCATGTCCTGCACTTGGTGCCCACCAGGAACACGCTTGGCTGAGCCCTGTGGGGGCTCCAGGGGTGGGAGGGCAGGTGAGGTCCAGGTACCTGCTCCAGACTCTCATAGTCCAGCTTGAAGGCCCAGAGCTGGAGCCTGGCCGTGAGGTCGCTGATGGAAGACAGGGCGAGCAGGAACTGCTCTGCAGAGCCCAGAGGCACATCAGGGTTGGCCAACTGGGCCTCCTGGATCTTCTGCTTCTCCTCCTCGGTGGGGACCATGCTCAGGATTTTCTAACGGCAGGCGAAGGGAGACGTGTCACCCTCCAGGGTCACCCCAAGGGCTGGCAGGGGAGGATGTGCTGTGGCCTGGAGGCCTCCTGGCCGGGGGGAACGACCTGCAGGAGGACCTCAGAGGAGCCTGGTGCTCACCTCAATCCCTTCCTTGTTGACCGCGAACTCGTCGAAGTTGAGCACGGCCGTCTTGATGATGTGCACGGGCGGCAGCACCGTCAGCCCGATGTTGATGGCGTTGCTCCTCTTGGGGTCCAGCACCACCACCACCTTCTTCCCGTCGATGGCCTTCTGCAAAGAGGGCAGGATGGATAGGGACAGCCAGGGAAGGGCCTCACCTCCAGGAAAACTCCATGGGGAGCCAACCAGGAACCTGGTGGTGACGCAAACCCATGGGGTGCCTCGGGGTGCCCCTCGGGGGTGTGGGGTGGGGATGACAGTGCCTGTCCTGGGTCCCCTCAGGAACTAACAGCATTCCATGCTCAGGATTTTCTAACGGCAGGTGAAGGGAGACGTGTCACCCTCCAGGGTCACCCCAAGGGCTGGCAGGGGAGGATGTGCTGTGGCCTGGAGGCCTCCTGGCCGGGGGGAACGACCTGCAGGAGGACCTCAGAGGAGCCTGGTGCTCACCTCAATCCCTTCCTTGTTGACCGCGAACTCGTCGAAGTTGAGCACGGCCGTCTTGATGATGTGCACGGGCGGCAGCACCGTCAGCCCGATGTTGATGGCGTTGCTCCTCTTGGGGTCCAGCACCACCACCACCTTCTTCCCGTCGATGGCCTTCTGCAAAGAGGGCAGGATGGATAGGGACAGCCAGGGAAGGGCCTCACCTCCAGGAAAACTCCATGGGGAGCCAACCAGGAACCTGGTGGTGACGCAAACCCACGCAGTGCCCGTCACCGAGCCTCGGGGTGCCCATCCCCAGTGTGGGGTGGGGATGACAGTGCCTGTCCTGGGTCCCCTCAGGAACTAACAGCATTCCCTGCCACCCCTGATGTCCCCTCAGCTGGTGGGTGCCAGCCTGCTGGTACCTTGGAAGTTGGTGCTTCCTTGGACCGTGACTCAAAGAGATGCTCCAGTTTGGCAGCGTTGACCTCGACGCTCTGCAAGGACGCCCAGAGTGTCCCTTGGCCAAACCTCCCTGGCCCCACAGTGCCATCCAGCTGCTTCAGCTCCTTCCAAAAGAGCTTCACTGTCCTCTTCTTCTTGGCCTGGGAGGGGCCATCTGTTGTTGAGGTGCTTGGTAGCCCTGGGGGAGGTGGGCAGCCAGGGATGGCAGGAGGTGGAGGAGGAGGTGGCGGGCAACCAGCGAAGGCAGGAGGTGGAGGAGGAGGTGGTGGGCAACCAGGGAAGGCAGGAGGTGGAGGGGGAGGTGGTGGGCAACCAGGGTTGGCAGGAGGTGGAGGAGGAGGTGGTGGGCAACCAGGGAAGGCAGGAGGTGGAGGGGGAACCATTAGAGCTCCAGCGCTTGTAGCTTCAATGCCAGGAGGGAGGAAGGAGCCATTGGCCATAGGCCTCGTGTCCAGGATGTCCAAGTCTTCTTCGTCCCCCAAATCAGTGAAGTCCAGGTCTTTGATCTTCAGCTGCACGGGGCTGGCCTGCAGGCGCTCCCACGTCAGCTCCACCTCCTTCTTGATGGGCACCATACCCGTGTTCTCCAGCTTCTGGCTCTCGGCGTCCGCGCTGGACGCGGCACGTGCCAGCCTGGCGTGGGCACTGGCCACCGGCCCATCCGGAGCCCTGCCACGGTGCCAGGCACCCTCCTGCTCCTGGTTGACACCTCCCTCGGGGTCCTCCTCCCCTGCACCATGGCCTGGAGGGGACAACGGGACCTCAGGGAAGACCTTCTCCCTGCCCAGCTCCGAGGAGCCCTTGGCGTAGAGCATGTCCAGCATGAACTTGGTGTCGGAGGAGATGGTGCTGCAGGAGTCGGTGGCATCAGGCCGAGCCAGGAGGGACCCTGTGGGGAGAAGGGGAGTTGGTTGGGACATCCTGCCTGGAGCAGGAAGGAGCTGCTGGGCTGCACGTGGAGCTGGGGGGGTCCTGCTCCCCCCACCCCGTGGGGGATGTTGGTGTTCAGAGCAGGATCGGGTGGTACCACCTCTGTGGGTATCACAGGGCAGAGGGGGCCACCAGCACCCACCCCAGGGACCCCCAAGCTGGGCACACAGCAGCACCTACTTATGTTGGGTGGCTCCATCCCAGGCTCAGAGGTGCTCCTGTCTCTGTCCCAAGGCAGAGCACTGGGATGCTCCAGGGCAGCATCCCCAAGGACATCAAGCCGTCCCTTGGCCATGGAAGCCATCTTCTCCTTCTGGGCTGCAGCCAGGTTCTCCAAGAAACGAGCTCTGTGAGACAGGGGGTGGACGTTGGCCCAGGAGCAAGGTTGGGGACAAGTGGGACAACACACAAACCACACCATGCCACACTGCACAGCCAGCAGAGACCCCCCCTCCCTGCACCCACCACACCACAGCAGGGACCCGGAGGAGTCAACCTCCTCCAAGCCCTGCAGAGAGGTGGGTGATGCCACCAGGGCTTGGGGACAGGCACACCACGTCCCCATGGGAGCTGAAGGCTCGTGCCCAGCAGGCTGCCACCACTACCTGTTGGTCCCAACGGGCCTGGTGCTCACTCTGACCCTCCTGCAGAAGCTGCAGCACCCAGGAGGGTGCCTGGGCAGAACCTTGGCAGGACCTTCCTGCTCCTCCTGCCCTGGGTGGCTGGAGCCTCCAGCCACAGCTTGTCCAAGGAAGCACATGCCTGGAGCCACCCACATGCCTCTACTTACTCAAACTTCCTCAAAATAGGCTTGTCCCCACGCAAGGGGGGGGCATCATCCTCCCTCCTGAGGGAAAACAGGGGTTAGCCCCCCTTGCTGCTTGGCAGACCCCCAGGGCCTCCTGCCTCGTGTCACCCCACAGCCCTGGGGGGTCACAGGGAACCCCAGAGAGTCACAAAATCCCAGCCTGGTTTGGGTTGGAAGGGATCTTGAAGATCATCCAGTTCCAACCCCCCCTGCCATGGGCAGGGACACCTCCCACTGCATCAGTCCCCTCCTGCATGGCCACTGTGTGCCTTGTGCCACCAGAGCCACCCAGCTTGTCACCAGGATGCTGACACCACCCCCTGGAGGGAGGGTGGGCTGTGCCACCCCTGGCAGGGACATCCCACCCCCAGAAGAGGGGAGCAGAGGGTGCCATCACCCCCAGAGTGGGGAGCGGGCTGAGGTCCTGCAGGCAGGACTTGGAGGGATATGGGGCAGTGAGTGGGTCACTGCTGCCATTGGGGCATCCCCCAGGGAAGGAGCATCCCATGGGGAAGGAGCATCCTGCCTGAAAGGAGCATTCCATTGGGAAGGAACATTCTGTTGGGAAGGAGCATCCCAGTGGGAAAGAGCATCCCAGGGGGAAGGAGCATCCCACAGGGAAGGAGCATTTGAATGGGAAGGAGCATCCCAATGGGAAGGAGCATTTGAATGGGAAGGAGCATCCCAATGGGAAGGAGCATTTGAATGGGAAGGAGCATCCCAATGGGAAAGAGCATCCCACAGGGAAGGAGCATCCCATTGGAAGGAGCATCACACTGGGAAGGAGCATCCTGCCAGAAAGGAGCATCCCCAGGGAAGGAGCATCCCCAGGGAAGGAGCATCCCCAGGGAAGGAGCATCCCCAGGGAAGGAGCATCCTGCCAGAAAGGAGCATCCCAATGGAAAGGAGCATCCCACAGGGAAGGAGCATCCCATTGGAAGGAGCATCACACTGGGAAGGAGCATCCTGCCAGAAAGGAGCATCCCCAGGGAAGGAGCATCCCCAGGGAAGGAGCATCCCCAGGGAAGGAGCATCCCCAGGGAAGGAGCATCCTGCCAGAAAGGAGCATCCCAATGGAAAGGAGCATCCCACAGGGAAGGAGCATCCCATTGGAAGGAGCATCACACTGGGAAGGAGCATCCTGCCAGAAAGGAGCATCCCCAGGGAAGGAGCATCCCCAGGGAAGGAGCATCCCCAGGGAAGGAGCATCCCCAGGGAAGGAGCATCCTGCCAGAAAGGAGCATCCCAATGGAAAGGAGCATCCCACAGGGAAGGAGCATCCCATTGGAAGGAGCATCACACTGGGAAGGAGCATCCTGCCAGAAAGGAGCATCCCCAGGGAAGGAGCATCCCCAGGGAAGGAGCATCCCCAGGGAAGGAGCATCCCCAGGGAAGGAGCATCCTGCCAGAAAGGAGCATCCCAATGGAAAGGAGCATCCCACAGGGAAGGAGCATCCCATTGGAAGGAGCATCACACTGGGAAGGAGCATCCTGCCAGAAAGGAGCATCCCCAGGGAAGGAGCATCCCCAGGGAAGGAGCATCCCCAGGGAAGGAGCATCCCCAGGGAAGGAGCATCCTGCCAGAAAGGAGCATCCCAATGGAAAGGAGCATCCCACAGGGAAGGAGCATCCCATTGGAAGGAGCATCACACTGGGAAGGAGCATCCTGCCAGAAAGGAGCATCCCCAGGGAAGGAGCATCCCCAGGGAAGGAGCATCCTGCCAGAAAGGAGCATCCCAATGGAAAGGAGCATCCCACAGGGAAGGAGCATCCCATTGGAAGGAGCATCACACAGGGAAGGAGCATCCCCAGGAAGCAGCACCCCCAGGGAAGCAGCACCCCAGGAAGCAGCACCCTTGGGAAGCAGCACCCCAGGGAAGGAGCACCCCAGGCAGGAGCAGCCCCAGGGGAGAAGCACCCCAGGAAGCAGCACCCTCAGGGAAGCAACACCCCCAGAAAGAAGCAGCACCCTCAGGGAAGCAACACCCCCAGAAAGAAGCAGCACCCTCAGGGAAGCAACACCCCCAGAAAGAAGCAGCACCCTCAGGGAAGCAACACCCCCAGAAAGAAGCAGCACCCTCAGGGAAGCAACACCCCCAGAAATAAGCAGCACCCTCAGGGAAGCAGCACCCCCAGGAAGAAGCAGCCCCAGGGAAGCAGCACCCCCAGGAAGAAGCAGCCCCAGGGAAGGAGCACCCCACGCA